GCGGTGACTTGGCCCTTGCCTCCAGAGACATAGTAGACGACAAAGCCTCCGGTGGTCTTTCCAGTGTACTTGTCGTTGAAGAGATCCCTACTTCAAGTCAGTACGAAGAACTTCGAACTTCTGGTAGGAAGAAGTACCTGTTAGGGATCTGAGGTACGCGCTTGTATGTTCCATTGCGAGCCTTGAAGTAGACATTCGCGGTCCAGTAGTTGGAAAGCTGTCACCCAAATCGTTAGCTTGGTCGTTTTGTGTTCAATACCTGGACTTACATCCTCCGAGTAGCCGCAAGTGGTGCATGTCGCAAGCTTGGCGATATCCGTCGACTGCATCGTGACGTTGAACGCATTGCCACCAACTACCTGGTGCATGTGCGGTGAGGGCGCTTGGCCTGGGTTGACAAGAGGATCGATGCGGTCGATAACATTCTGAGCGCACCCAAAACGCAACATCGTGAAGCCCTGAGAGCCACCGAACTGAGGCGCAGCCTGCGCGACGGCGGCGAGGAGGAGAGTAGGGAACAGCATGACGATTCGCAATGTCTCTTCACAGAAGGATGTGTAGATGATGAAGAAGTACAGAACGATGCAGAGAAGACGCCCTGGAAGATAAAGTACTCCAGGAGAACGTTCTACGAAGCTCTCACACCTACCCCATGCGACCCACACGCAGAGGCTTTGCCCATCCGTCTCGACTTCCGCATTCGACATACAACTGCCGACCCCATCCGTACCAGAAAACTCATATTAATGTCACCACAACTTCACCTAAAGCGTAAGACCCCGTGGCATCGAGGCAATGTCGGCAGTTGCGGAACTAATATGCTGATCCCGCATTCGGCTAAAGGCTTGAGATTACTTCACCAACCTGACCACTTTCTTTGGACGACGTATGGTACCGGGGCATGGGGATCGACATCTCCTCGTGGGGATGTAGTCAAGAACATGGGGATGGAAGTGGCGTTATCGGAAAGATCGGAGTCATGGCATTAGAGTTGAATTGATTCTCGTGTCTTATTCTACCACACTACTATGTGTTGACACCTCAGCCCCGCAAGTCCAGAGTTGGGAACGACTAAGCAGGCGCAGGGATAGAACCGGCAACAGCCTTGATGCCCGCGTTCCAGATGTCACCCATGCGCGCGTATCCAGCGACATTCCTATAAGATCAGTCAGCTGAGCGGTCTCCAGACGAACGGGTCAATACTTACGGGTGCAGGTTATCGCTCAACTCGCTGCTCGTGCTGAGGACGTTCATATCGACAATAGAAACCTTCGATCCCTTGCTGACCCTGGAGGCGACGATAGCAGGCAACGCGTTGTTAAAAGTCTTGATGTTGGCGTTAAGACCCGATTGCTTTGATGGGATGATCTTGGCCACAATGACGACTGCGTTGGGGACGGCCTTCAGAACGTCATCGAGCAAGAGTCCCAGTCGTCTCGGCGCATCAGCATCTGGCTCTGACGAAGGGTTTCCTCTGTTCAAGTCGTTGGTACCGGCATGGAGCAGAACGACGTTGGGCTTCAACGCAAGACCGCCGGCGGCAACGCCGCGGATCTGGGAGATGGTGTAGCCGGGGAAACCTTGGTTGTCCTTATCCGCCATGGTTCCGGACTGTTGCGTGCCGACGAAGTCAACGGTGTAGCCACCAGACTTGAGGTCGGCCAGCAGCCGCTCACGGTAGCCATTTGAACCGCCGCCGTTGATGTAACCCCAGGTAATGGAGTCGCCTAGCGGCAGGATGCGGAGGTTCTTCGACTGGCGTGCGATGAGCGCATCGGTGGGAAGACCATTGACGAAGGATAGAACTGCATCTCGTTAGTCACGTGTGCATGTGTCCGATGCATGTAAGAGCCCTACAGAGTGAGAGGATCGCCAACGGCAGAGCCAATCGCGTCATCGTGTTTGATAGCATCGTGATCAGATATCGAGCTCTTGTCAATAACGCACAAGCGACAAGTCCAGAGGCGAGACGCCCTTTTGATGTAGAACGCCCAGCTTCATCGTACCCCAGATCCAGTCCATGCGTGCTTGTGCACCCTCAAACTGGCACACATGGCGTCAGTTTCTCCGTCGATTTGATGAAGCCGAGAGGTTAGCGCGTGCCGATTCTGATTAACCTGCGACAGAGCTCGTGGACGCGAATTCTCCGTAGGCAGAACTACGGCTAAGATGGCGGCGGAGTGGAGGTACCTGAGGAGGTTTGTGCACCATGTCGTCATGAAACGACGCGACTTTCGACGCGCGCGAAAGGATCACGTCTGCGATCAGAGTTCATATTGCGACGCGCTATTGAGAGCTTCGCGATAGGTATGATGCCACCACAACATCGCCGTTGACGCGCTCGGTATTCTGGAACTGCTTTTAGCCTCGGCCCCTTACCTTGGTGTTTCAATGTTTCAATGTGGAGAGCAATTTGGCCTTGACAGCTGTCCCTAAATCTCCCCGCATCCTAGCTCCATTGGGTATAGCTCAGACGATAATAACATGTCTACAACACCAAGAGCCCCTCAGAGCCTCAGGCTCATCATCTTTCGCATGTAGTGTGCGCTGCACGAAGAACACTTTGAACGGGTATGCGGATGATTACGATGAACTGCTTTGGTAGCACAGCTGAGTGAAACAACTGCCAGGCTCTCTAGTCGTGCACTCAATGCAAGCTTACCGGCCGGTATGTCCAAACTTCGGCGGACTACACAGAACATGTCCTGCACGCGACTCTATGGTCGGGTTTCTATTATGTAGCGAGGTGATCACGCTAAACCGGTGCACACCGGCGGTCGTTCCTGTTTTCCCTTGGAATGCGCCATCGACAGACCCTTCTTAGACTACCTAGGTACGAATGGTTTGTCAGTTCGAGAGATGAGACCATCAGAAATTCGGAATACAAGGCCGATATGATGCTCACGGGTGCAGCTGCCGAATTTGCGGTGTATGATGGCAAGAGCGAATGACGTAGGCAGAGTACGAAGGTGATGATCCCATTGCCATTGGAGCTCGCTGACGAATGAGACAAAGAATCTTCAGGGATATATAGACGCTCGAAGATGAATATGTACGTTGTCGGCATGCCCACAATTTGAGGGGAAGAAATTCCAGCCAAGTATCGCACAGCTCGTTCTCTAAGCCGTGGGCAGCTCTTGCGGAAGATGGCCAATGCTACCTAGGTAATCTCGTTCTTTCGCATACAACCAGATGATCTTGTCCGGTTACATGTACTGATTCTACAGCGTTTGTTGATCTTCGATACAACTATCGATTCTCGTGGATCGAGCATGTGCATCAGCCACCTACTTCGCTGTCGTTGTCGCAACTCCGTTCGGCCCCGTTTCTGTCAAGAAGAAGGCTGCAAGAGTGACGAATGCTCAAAACTTAGTCCATTCATTACTTACGGACTGTCAGTATGGATTAAACCATGCACAGAACATAGCTCCAGTAGCTATAAGTGGCACGGCGGTTACGGGTTTTGCCGTGGGCGCAGCCAGTACCCGACATCGCCGCGGTCCCACTCCCGCGCTAAGCGGGTCTTGGCAGGTTCCTCTCAAGGTTCACTCCTACCTGAGTCGCCATGACACACGCATGAAGTACTTGACTGATTGCTAGCCTACATACTCAGGCATTGATTTCAGTACGGGCTGTAATAGACGCAACAGTAGTAGTGACCGATTGCCTACCTAGGTAGGTGTTCATTGATCAGCTACGACGCTATGTAAAGTGCCCAAGGCTTATGTTTCACAGAAGTAGCAGTGGTTCCAATCTGGTTACCTTAGCGTTCGGGTGGCCGCGCGCGTCGCTGGACCACGTGGATCATCGCTCTTGATACCCGACGTGCTGCCGCCGCGGCACTCCGCAAGCACTATCGTCAGGCTTGAGCATCAACCTTTTTCACTATCTCGCGACATCTAGTCCATGTTTCCAAGGCTTTCAGGCCAATAGATTCGCCGTCTTGCACATAGAGAAATATGCCTCGCTTACCATAAGCCCTTTTCGATCTTTACTAACCTCAATAGAACAGCCCAGCGTCTAGCACGGCACGTTCATTGACACTTGGAGATACTCATTCAATAGAACTACCTCAGAATAAAGTTTTGCACTGCGCGGTTAATCGATCAGCGCTTGGGTCTTCATGTCGGACTTACTGTTCCTACATTTGCTGGTATAAATGCCAGAAGCCCGTCCACGTTGACGTAAACTCTCATCAGCCATAACATCTTTAAACTAGTTCGAAAACATCTAAACTTGCTCAACTTTCATTGCTTACAATTGCAATCCACTCATTTCTCGACCATCTTTTTCGCCAGCTACTCAATCATGGGATCCACAAAGACGGAAATGTTTAATGTTTACATACTCTACTTCGAGACGCCGCCCTTCGGCCGCGGACATGAAGGGATCGCGTTGGTTCCGGTACAAGAGAAATTGCAAAATGGGGGTCGATTTTACCATGTCAAAGGCGACATGTTTAGTAGACTGGAGTACGAGTCACGCAATCCTTTCGACTTCGGTATGGCCAAGACGTTGAAGTCGAAAGTGTATCAATTTCAACTGCCGATATCTTATCTCCCGGACTTCGAGCGTATCGCAAAAAGCTATGATCCTCAATACGATCCCCGCGCCCTCACCGAGAGCGACCCAGATCTTCCAGTCGGGGAATGCTTTGCTTGGGTAGCTGGTGTACTCAAAGAAGTTCGTGTTCTTCTGAAGAACGCTGGCTTGGCTGCCTGAGCCTACCTGGATCGCCATGTGGAAGTTCTTCAAGCGCGTCGTATCTTGCTCCATGTAATTCGCGGCTTACTTCCAAGCGAGTCAAGCGCAGGGACTATTGACAGGGGGAGCAATCGTTTATGAGGATCCTAAGATGTCAATATTGGCGGCATGCCGTTGATTGGGGTAATACCAATAGTGTCAGGTTCGGCGCAATCGTTGTCCATTACATGTACGCATAGTCTTCCTATCAGAATTACGCTCGTCTTCTTCACCATTTGCGATAGCTGTATCATGATCTACCACAATACTTCCATCAATCTGGCATGGATCAACTGCTCACAATAATAAGGTGTGAGGACCCCAAGTAGATGTGAACCCCAGTCATCAGCAAAGGCTTCGATATAAAATGCCTTGGCGAACTCCCAGTATTCCGGGTACCACCCTGATAGCTCCCAGTCAATGATCGCTGCTACGCGACCATCTTTGACGATGATGTTGTCGGGTCTGAGATCTCCATGAGTAAAGACAATTCCATGTTTGTGTGTATTTAACATACCACGGATGTACGGGCCGGCCTGGGCCTTGGATCTGGCAACGAAGGTCTCTACGATTTTAGCATTGAAGTCCTCTATACTTTTGAACGGACCTAGGTATCTGGTCAGAAATTCGCCATCCGTTCTCGCGTATGCGTGCAATGACAGACCTCGGGCAGATGTTGACCATTCTAACATCAGATCAGTGACTGGTCCTTCGTCCACTGATCCAATATAGTTGGCTGGGGGAAGAGAGCGAAGCTCAATCATGTGCTTCTTGAGATCCATCAAGATTGTTTGCTTCTCAGCAGCGCTGTACTTGCCCCATGACTTTCTTAGATCTTCGCCTTCGATGAACTCCATGAAGATATATACATCATAGACACTCCCATAGTCTCCGAGGTCTCGGTCCAACGGCCCGTATGCGTATGCTGCATATAGTTTTGGGACGGGAATTGATGTCCTTCCAGCCACATACAGCATGTTTTTAGCTTCGATAAGAGAAGCATGGTTCCCCCATTTCACTACCATCGTTGGTGACATTTTCGCTAGATTACCCCCGAGATTCTCTGGATTTGATGCGTGGAATTGTTCTGGAGTGATGAGTTCATGTCCTGGGGCCAGATACTGCACGTGGATCTGTGGATTGGAAGGCATTGAACTGAATAGCTCGGGCATTGCGGCTGCTTGATACGCAACTATAGGCTAGTAATTTACATGAGTAATACAATACACATTTACGGATTCTCACGTACATGATGCATCGGGTCTTTGAACACTGCCATCCTTGGAGCGGCTTGTGCTGGCTTTCATCAGAATGGGTCAGCTGTTCTTCTACCTGCTCGAAGCAGCACCGTGGATACAGTTGACTTTACCGTACTAAGCTTTGGCAGCGAAGAAACAAGCATCAGATAATTGATGTTAGTGCGACGTTTTCTAGGAACTTCGTGATGCGTAGTTTGGGGAAAGACAAGAGAAGGTACGCTGCGCTGCGCTGCGCGGGGTGCTGGTGCGGGGCAGCCTTCTTGCCTAGTTTGCCCGAGGAATTACCGCGCCCCGGCTGATTCCGCACGCTCACTCCTAAAACATCTACGAGAACACTCACAAAACTCCCACAGATGGTATGAGCAACTGGAAAATACTGTCCGCAATTACATGGATCGAAGCGCTTTTACATCGCGGCAGGGTGGGCGGCCTCAGCGACTAACACACGGGGAGTTGTCTGGAAAGATCTCCGAGAAAACAGCGAAGGAAGGGCACGCGAGGGCCGCCAACATGCATTGTTCTCATACAAGAACCGTTACTGCTCTTGTTCTACTGAGTTAAAACCTAGGTAGGGATATCGCATGCCATTCAGAGATAAGCATTGCGTACCTCATACATCGCCTACGCAGATACGCTTCTACGACAAACATGTTACATCATGCTATTCCAATCAACCAAGGACGAGCTGCAACAGAGGCGACATCTCGTCCCATCAAGAAGGCATTGCGATGTCATAAACGACAGTGAAGTCGTTGTCTTGAACGTTGCTAATCATTCTGCCCTGGGGCTCATGAGCACTCAGCAGTGCGCAACGAAGCAACATTCTCCAGTCGCATGAGGACGTGGACTTCTGGAAGGGAGATACTCGTTATCTGAAAGGGCAACCCTTGCAGCAGACATACCGCTCACACTCCAAGTATTGACCACGCCCTTGCTTAACGCATGTATGAGCATCTGGCAAAATGCATACTCCTGCCAACCAGCGTGCTTCAAACGAATCAACCCACATGCCATCCTGAGGTCTGATCACCACCAGAGTCCAGTGTGCCTGGCCCCAGCTTTCTGTCTTGCTCAGTCTCTGAGCCTTCTATAGGCTTGCTACGCGAGCTGTCCCCTGTCCGGTGGCGTCTGGATTACCGTATGCGAACGCTGCTCGCATGACAGCCCATTCTGCAGCCATGAAGGACGAATAGGCCGCCAGGGGGCCCTTCACTGGATCATCCATGGCATATCTTGCCATAGCCGTTGCAACTGCGTCATAACAGCAATATATGTCTTGAGTTACAATTACTTGGCGTTCTTGGGTCTGCGATAGCCAGCTCTTAAGCATGCCGGGTGCCTGTGGGGCTGCTGCGCACACCTTCGAAGGTCGATATCTCAGTCTGATCTCTTGTTATCTTTTCCTCTGTCGCCTTGATTTGCTGCCGATTTTCCGTTCTCTCATACTCAAAAAGAGGTTTTCGACATGGCAGATCCCAGCTATGCAGCAGCTGAGCCGGGCGACTTCTTCTGTCCAGATGGTGGTACTTGGTGAGTCGACGATCTGACATCAGAATGATAATCACCTTCAACACGAAAACGTGACTCAATGGCGCTACCAGGTACGACACTGACAGTGATCAGGTACGTCTGCGAGACAGGCACAAAGTTCGTCGGGTGCTGCATGTCGGATCCGTGCCAGCATGCCTGCTTCGGTGATGCGCTGAAACCAGCGGGACGAAATCCAAGACTCAACAATATCTCGCCTGGCGCATCATGTGGTGGTACAACACCCTTCTGGACTTGTTCAATGGCTCCGACATTCTATGGATGTTGTAATGAAGATGCGTGCATGAACAACTCGACATGTCCAGAGGGGCAACTGGAGCCAGCGTTCTGGGACCGACCCGACCAATACTACTACTTTCACGATCTGAACGTTGCGCTTTCTTCCACTGTTCCTGCGCCTACGGCATTCTCAACTGCTGTCAGCACATCTGCGCCCGCAAGTAATACGCCTACACCATCAGCTTCCGCCAGCCCCGATGGAGTCTCTGGCAGGGTCATTGGAGGTGCCGTTGGAGGCTCACTCGCTGGTCTCATTATCATCGCCACAGTCGTGTTCTTCCTGTTTCGCCGCCGGCGCAACAAGAAAGCCAATGCCGAAGCAGAGGCAGCCAATGGCCAGGTGATACCAAAAGCCGAACTGGCATCGCCTACAACAACTACTGGTTTCGCGCCGTCAAATGGATTCTCACGTACGCTTCTATCACACAGAACATATGAGGTTCATTGCTGACTGCGTATAGCACCTCCCACATATTCTTGGGACACTTCCGGCCATGGACAGAAATGGACACAACACCACATTGGCACTGGTGAGATGATGGGAGATACAAGAAACCGTGAGGTAAATGCGAAATGCGCCGATAGCCACGGTCCAGCCGAGCTGTATGGCGCTCTACCAGCAGGAGAGCTTGAGTCGCCAGAGTACATTCCGAAAGTAGCGCAGGGAAAGTCCGCTCACGACACATCGAAGCAGCATGAAGATGTTTCGGGTGCCATTGGTGAAGAGAAAGCAGCAGCCGTGAACGCGCAAACGTGAAAGTGTTTCAGCTGTTTGTGAAGCTTCGAATCGAAGTATTGCGCGGTTTTGTATGCTAGGATCTTGTAAGCTACCAGGTAACTGCCTCTAACTCAACGACGATGCGTGACGCTCTCACATTCCTGAATCAATCGCTACCGTTCCGAGTACGGCCAAATTCTCCTCATCTCCTCCGGTGTCATGCCAAACTCATTACTCCTTCTCACAAATTCTTCCAGCAGTTCATGGTTCTTCTGTTGTCTCGCAGCGAAATCCAACATCGGATTGATCCAGCCTTCGAAATCAGCATTAAGGATTCCTCTCGCAAATTCGTGTACTTTATGGTAGTTACTGTACTTTTCGAACTGTTGCTCAAGCCTTTGCATATCCTCTTCGCTGAAGTTGAGCGGACATTCGCCTTCGAAGCCAATTTCGTCCCATAAATCAACAACCTGGAGGAGACACGCGCGAAGTGGTATCTCGCCCTCTTCCGAGACTTCTCCGCACCGAGTGAAGAGCTCGCGGAGGAACGATGATATCAGCAAACACCTCCAAGCCCGCATATTCGAGGCTGCGGTACTGACTTCGTACACCTTGGCTTCTTTGGCTTGCTCAAACTTGTACTCAGCCAGTTCCCTATCTTTAGCATCCATTTTGTCTAGATCAGGCGGCGGGTCTGGAAGCTTGATAGTACCCAATTGGTAGTCTTCATCGACTGTAAGAAATTTCGGAAATCGTGCTTGCAAGAACAGTGGCGAGACTACAATGGACTGCCAGTCGATGATCGATGAAATTTGTGGTGGATTCCGCCCTGACACGTATATGTTGCCCATATGGAGGTCTGTGTGCCATAGCACCGGCTCGGAAATCTTTCCGATGAGCGTGCGGTCGTTCAGTCGAGACATGACCTCTTTGGTCATATTAAGAGTATCGATCTGCTCATCGAGAGTTCCTCGCGGTGATTCAAATGTGGCATCGGGAGTGCGGTTTTGCAGAATTGCGAGTTCTCGTTCGACGAGAGCAGTTCCATATGAAGACAAATCCGGCCCTGATAAAGTGAGCTATGACGCGAATCGTTCAGGATCGTACTTACACGGCCCCCGATCAAATCGAGGGCTTGCACTTGCTAATGCCTCCGTAGTATGCCATTCTCGCTCGCATGACGGGCCTATGCAGAACTCTCCCTCAGGGTCAGTCTCTTGGCCCAGAGCGACGTGTGTGTCGCTCTCTGTCATTGACTCCAAAAGGTAAAGACTTCCACTCGCTGGGAACCGGATTTCAGCCATTTGTTTTTCGGAGTTGGTTAATTGGCCAAAGAATTTAAATCGCTCCCAGTCATTCAAATCTCCCCACACTTCGAATTGCTGAACCCCAGGAGCCTTTTCCATGATAATATACTCGGCACCGACCGGGTTTGACGGATCAGCGTTCCATGCTAGAACTTTCGGTGCTGGGACTTGAGTATACTTGTTTACTGCCGACAGCGATTTGATGAGCCGATGTCACGCAGGCCTCCAGAACAACGAGGACGTACGGTATTTGAGAACAGCCACCTCCGACGCCGTGGTGTACTTGGGCGGCCCTGCGATAGGAAAGGGTATCTTCGCAACGATCTCGCTGCCATCTTCTTTGCGCAAAAGAAGTGCTTTGCTGAACCCTCCTTCCATCTTGTCGATCGCGCAGACGGGTGAGTGCCGCCCACCAGTAGTCGCAGCTACTGCACAAAGCTGATCTAGATCGAATGTTACATATCTGCGATCAATCGCTTTCTTCTCGTTTGCTAAGAAACGTCCGTTCGTGTACTTGAACACGTCCTCGCGGTCGATCGATTTGCCTGCTTTCGTTGGCTTATTGACAAGGCTGGGACCGCGCTGTAGTTACCCCGACATGTTATAGTGAGGGCTCGAGAGGCCCGGGTCGCGGCAAGACGTGCATAAATGCTAAATGAATGTCGCTATAGGATCCGAGGTCGAAGCGACAACAGCATGACTGAACCCTGATGTAGTTTCTCGGAAGACCAGAGAGTACCTAGGTATCGGCTGCGCTGGGTGACGGGCTCGCGTGCGCTCCCCGCTAGCCCCGCGTCGCGAATTCTGAAAGCCGCAGTCGCACTCGGCTGTTGTCCCACCCAGGCAGCTGCGCCAAAAGAAGGACGTGGGACGCAGGTTTTAGCCAAAGAACGAGCAATGAGCAGCGGATGCGATAAGAATCATTTGGAACAAGTAAAGGATTATATTGGGCGAAGATGATCAAGTAATTTCGTAAAGTTCATGACAACGATCGTAAGTATGTTAAAAACTACAGTAACAGAGACGCCGAAAAACACCTAGCGACTGACACCTTACATCCGAATCCAACTCGTCATCTCCTGACCGTTGCGAAAGTGTTGCGCGACATGTTCCATCCTCTTCGCAGTAGTCTCAAGCATACACCCGCAGAACCCACACCAGCGTGAGCCAGGTCCACCAGGCGAAACATCCAACCCTCTTGACCATTCCGTGGGTACCTCGAATGTCTTTTTGATCGATGAAGGTGCACCTGCAAGATGCGCAAGCAAGACGTGCTGTTTGAGAAAATCCTTGCGAGGAAAACTACGTTCGGCGGTGCACTTGTTCGAACAGGAATCGATTGCATGCTGGTCAAGATGATCGATCGAGTCCATTGGCTCCAAGCAGAAGATACATTCAGCCTGCAGCTTGAAAGCGTCAGTCAACACGCAGATCCACTCCCGATCGTTATAGCCGTGCACACTAGCCTCATGCCTCTTCCACCCCGAAGCGGCTTTGAAGGCCTTGACACATACAGTGCAAGAAAACCTTTTGTCGAATCCTTGGAGACCAGAGGAAGAGGTTGTATTCTGTGTCGCACAAGATAGGTGCTCGCTCGTGCCGTGTCGTTGTCTCTGAGCGTGGTACCTCCGGCCTTTACGCTTTGGAGCGGACACGCTGAAGGGTACCTGATGCGCTAATTCTGCTTCAGAAGATTGGAAGACCTGGGTTTCAGCATCTTGATTGTGATCTGACGTAGGATAGCCTGAATCAGACGATGAAGGCCATGGACTGCTGTCGCTCGTGTTCGTTGCGGGCGGTTCGTCAGCGCAAGAAACGAAGCCAGGTTGTGCGTAGCTTGACTGAGGCGACTTATCGGCGCGCAGTCCAGTATCAGTGGCACTACTGCCATCTTGTATGTTGGAATTGCCTTCAAATACTACATGCATTATTAGAGGGGTAATGGGAACATGATGCGTAAGCTTACAGTGCTTTTCACGGGCCCGAAGATTCCTGAAACAGACATTGAGTTGATGCTCAGAGCATCCGGCAGATGCAGCAAGCGCCGCTTTCTCTGTTGGGGTGGGATAAGGTCGAGATGCATGATCGGAAAGCCAGCGCCGAACGAGTTGCACTCGGTGTTGACATGCAGACAGGTTGGGGCGCATTTGACATGGCTCTTTTGGCGACGTTGAGATCCGTAGATGGGCGTCTGGCTGTTCCATGGTACCTGCATGCGCGAACCCTAAACCTTGCATGTCGAAGTCAAAGCCGAGAACATCTGTACACATGTATTCCTCAGCAGCATCGTAGCCACTAGACACATCATGTGAATGCCAAACGTTCGACAAATTATTTTCATCTTGCTCGTCTTCGCCATATTGGCCGTCCAAAAGAGACTGGGGCGGCTGGGTAGCGATGCCAGGAACATTGAGAGCATTGTCGAGTTCTATATCACCTAGGGAAACGTAGCCATTATGCGGGGTATTCTGAGCAAAGTAGCTGGTGTAGCTGTCGACTTGCGGGATGTGGCCATCTACATCGTAGAGGCTGCCGGGCTGAGGATACGAATTATCCGTATCGTGATATAAGACATACTGCCCATCGAGGTCTGAGAAGGTTTCGTTCCAGATGTAACTAGTACGTAGAATTGTCAGTACTGCACAAGTGGAATTCGTAGCTGCAATTGCAATGGACGTTTTGCGTGCGCAGCTCAGTCACTGTACGGAGCACCCATGCAAGATGGTGAGTGAGGCCAGAGTACGTGATGCTCTATTGAAAGAATTGCGAATACCTTTCGTCGCTGCAATTTACAAAATTGGGTTGGGCTGATGTTGCTGCTGCGTCGGGAAACTAGACCGTATGTTAGCGGGGCTGACGGAGCAAGACCGATTGTGAGGCACCGTAAGGGGGAGGCTTCACTTACGTTGGTGGGGTCGGCCATCGGAGGCGAAGGGGTCGTAGCTCCGCCGCCAAGCCTTTTCTGGTCAATCTGAGTACAGGATCGAACACAACACAACAACAAATGTCCAGAAAGTGATTTTGAAAACGGAGAAAAGGTGGTAGAGTCTCAGAAGACCTCTGGAACTCTCTTTCAGCCTTCATGATGAGTTTCAAGGCGTCACAGCGAAGACCTGGGAGATTCTACATTCATCTGATGACGGGCTAACGAAATCTTGGTTAGTGTTATGCAGCCGGTTGTGTAGTGCACGGGACACGTGATGCGAACTGCATGATGTATCGCTCGTTTAAGGAAAGTTCGGATATCTGTAAAATTAGGACTCGTTCTCAAGCTGCATTGGATTCTCGGGTTTCCTTAACTTTCTAGTAAACTACGACAAGCCAATCGCGGTCTGGACAAGTGTTGGAGTGTAGCACCATTGTACAGCGAGCAAGCTTCATCTACGTAACTGTCAGAACGAGGCGGAAAGGTGTCAATAGAACGATGCAAGTACCGAATTGTTTAACAAACATCATATTCTTCTCATGACCAAGTCACTACATCATCAATATATACAAGCGATCATCTCCGATCCCACCCCCATCTAAGCCTCCTCAGCAGCAGCGAGAATAACATCCGCCGCCTTCTCCGCAACCATGTACGTAGACACAGCAGTAAAGGTACCAGGAATCTTAGGGAAAACACTAGCATCAACAACCCTCAATCCAGCAACGCCGCGGACCTGGAACTTCGAGTCAAGAACAGCCATCTTATCGTCATCAGCACCAATGGGGCAGGTAGACGAGCAGTGGTGACCCCAAGCAGTGTCCTTGGCATACTGAGCAATCTTCTCGGGGGTGTTGGCGTCCTTGCCTGGGAGGACTTCGTCAATGGGGACGAGCTGGCGCTTGAAAGAGTCGCGGGCGAGGTCGACGGCCTCGGTGAGGGCAGTGAGATCCTTCTCGTAGTCGCCAACACCGGTGTCGAAGTAGTTGTAAGTGATCTCGGGGACGTCGAGAGGGTCGGCAGAGCGGAGCGCAACGGTTCCGGCGTTGTTGCGCGGGTGCGCCTTGAGGATGGCCCAGGTGAACCAGTCGTGCTCGGAGGTGGCGTTGTAGCTGTAGCCGGGGAAGTAACCGCGGAAGTTGACGGGGCCACCAAAGGCGAAGATGTCGTACTCGTCGCGCTCGGAGACGCTGGACTTGTAGAACATGGTGGCGCCGAGACCGGGGGAGGCGTAGATGCCGCGGTTGCCGAGGATGGATTTCTCCCAGCGGTCGATGCAGGCGTCGTCGTCGGTGTTGCCGAAGGTGCAGCCGTTCAGGGCGGAGAAGTCAGAAGGAGCCTTGCCCTGGACGTTGATCTCGTAGTGGTCTTGGAGGTTGGTTCCGACACCGGGGAGGTCAGCAACGACGGGGATGTCGAACTTGTTCAGCTCGTCGGCTGGGCCGACACCGCTGAGCTTGAGGAGTTGGGGAGAGTTGTAGGTTCCTCCGGCGACGATGACCTCCTTGGAAGCGGTCGCGGAACCGGGCTCACCAGCTGCGCCGGTGTTCTTGGGGCTGGCCTTGTAGAGGTACTGGCCGTCGAGGAACTCGACACCGGTAGCGCGGGGAGGAGTGACGTCCTGGTCGAAGGTGATCTTGGTAACGTGGCAGTTGAGTCTGACATCGAGAGGGTACTGCTTGCTGCCGTCCTCGTTCTTTGCGTCACGGACAGCGAGAACGAACTCGCGGGATCCAGTGCGCTTGCCGTCGGTGGTGGAGAGAGGGATTTGGTAGAGAGCGTTGGACTTGTCACGGCTCTCGGTGTCGGCATTGGCATCACCAGCAATAAGAGTACCAAGGTTGACGATGGCATTGGTCATGTTGGAAAGGGCGAAAGCGGCACCGCCAACCAAGCTGAGAAGCTTGGGGTCAGAGGTGACGATGTCGATGGGTGCGTACGAGGTTCCGAGCCATCCCTCGTAGCCGTGACCCTTCTGACCGGGGAGGAGGTAGTGGTTGTGCTCGAGCTTCTCGAAGTACTTGCGCATGTTCTTGGCTGACCAGGAGTCGTCACCAGTGATGGCGGCAACATTGTCGAAATCGGACTGGTGAGGGTAGACGGCGATGAGAGCGTTGTGTGCTGTGCATCCACCGAGGGTACCGGTACGAGGGTAAAGCGTACCCTTCATAGTAGAGCCCTCAGGTGGACTGAGACCGGTGTACTCGCCTCCATCAACAGTCTCGTAGGAGGTCTTGTAGTCGCGAGCTTGGCGCTGCTCATCAGCGTAGTGCTTGACGTAGAAGTTCCAGCTCAGGTTGGGGTCTTCGGAAACCCTGGCGTTGAAAGCAGGAATGGTGTAGTTCTGGCTGGCACCTTGGTCGTCACCGGCTTCGATGAGAAGCGTCTTGTGACCGGCAAGGGCGAGGCGGGCAGCCAAAGGCTTTGGAAATGGTCAGTATCTGTTACAGCTAGTCAGGTACTCTTGAACTTACACCACCACCTGCACCAGAGCCGACGACTACGTATTCATAGCCAGTCAGATCGACAGCCACCACAAGGGAAGCGAAGGCTGCGACTGTGTAGCCAATTACGCGAGGGAAGAACATGGTGATTAGGTATTACTTTGCTGTTCGGGTGGGTATTTAAAGAAAGAATGACAGAGGCTGTAAAGTGGCCTGCTTGATCCTACCCT